GGGAGGGAGTTAGGTCTTGGGATGGACGACGGCCCCACGCCTGACCCCCCCCCCCCCCCGGCCTCCCAGGCAGCATCGCCAAGCGGCTGAGCTCCATCGGCGCGGAGAACACGGAGGAGAACCGGCGTTTCTATCGCCAGCTGCTGTTCACGGCCGACCAGCGGGTCAATCCGTGCATTGGGGGCGTCATCCTCTTCCATGAGACCATGTACCAGAAGGCCGACGACGGCCACCCCTTCACCAAGGTCATCAAGGACAAGGGCGGCGTGGTGGGCATCAAGGTGAGAGCGGGCAGAGAGGGGGGGCGGGGGCTTGCAGCGATGTATTGGCGGAGGAGTCTAGGGGCCGGGGCAGACGGGACTGCAGGGGAGAGGCGGCTGGGGTGAATGACAGGGAGGTTGTGGGGCAGGGGCAGTAGGGATAATTGTATGGACGGATGGCCAAGGAGGAGGCTGGGAGGATGGGATGCTGCCGGAGAGAGAGGGGGATGGGGTAGGGGTATCTGGGCTGATGGGGTGGAGGGGGGTTCCTGGGGCAATCTTGTTACCCCCCCAAAGCCCAGAGGGACCCCACCGGAATGCCTGGGGCGATGGTCTGGAGGGGGTTCTTGGAGGCAGCCAGTGACTGAACGGACCCGTCCCTCTGCCCCGCAGGTGGACAAAGGTGTCGTGCCCCTGGCCGGGACAAACGGAGAGACCACCACCCAGGGTGAGTGACGTGGGCTGTGTCCAATGGCAGCGCAGCCCCTGCGGGGCCTGGGCCCGGGCACTAGCCCCCGGGCTCACGCTCTGTCCCTCCCCCCAGGGCTGGACGGCCTGTCCGAGCGCTGCGCCCAGTACAAGAAGGACGGGGCTGACTTCGCCAAGTGGCGCTGTGTGCTGAAGATCTCGGAGCACACTCCCTCCCACCTGGCCATCCTGGAGAACGCCAACGTCCTGGCGCGCTACGCCAGCATCTGCCAGCAGGTGGGCGTCCCTGGGGCGGGTGCTGCAGGTCCCTGTCTCCCCACTGGGGGGGGACACTGAGCACATGGCAGCTGCAGTTCCCCATCTGGCCACCGGATGGGGGTGCCGAGTTGCTGTGTCTGGGGGTCTCTGACCCCACCCGCTCTGTCTGCTCCCCAGAACGGGATTGTGCCCATCGTGGAGCCGGAAATCCTGCCCGATGGGGACCATGACCTGAAGCGCTGCCAATACGTCACCGAGAAGGTGAGAGGGGCCCCAGGGCGGGGCTGAGACTTGAGGCGTGGGCAGGGGGTGCCTCCTTGCAGGTGGCGGGGGGTTCGGAGGGGGCAGGAACGGGGGGGGGGTTCCCCCAGGGGTCGGGAGGGGGAATCTCCCCAGGCCAGTGAGTGTTGGGGGTCCTGAGGGGCGGATCCTCCCATGGCTGGCCCCGCCCCCAGGTGCTGGCAGCTGTGTACAAGGCGCTGAGCGACCACCACGTCTACCTGGAGGGGACACTGCTGAAACCCAACATGGTGACGCCCGGCCATGCCTGCACCAAGAAGTACAGCCATGAGGAGATCGCCATGGCAACCGTCACCGCCCTGCGCCGCACCGTGCCGCCCGCTGTGCCCGGTGAGGCCCGCTCTTCACTTCCCCCCTCCCCGGGCAGACAACCGGGGCTTTCCTTGGGATGCCTCACCTGTCCTGGGTGCTGGCCTGGCCCTATGCTGCAGGGTCTGGCAGGCGATGCCAGGGGCTGCTGGCCTGGGGGAAGAAGAGGGTGTCAGCGGGAAGCCAGCCCGTTTCCTGGGAGACCCAGTGCCCGGCCCCAGCCGCCCCCCGAGCCCTGGCACATTCGCCGCTGCCTCGGCCTGGGCTGGAACTCAGCTGGGGAAGGAAAAGGACGTGGGGGGGGGTGAAACCGTCGCCCAGCCCAGGGGGAGGGTCAGATTCAGCCAGAGCCACTGGGGCGGGGGGGTCAGTGGGTCCCCTCCGGCCCAGCCGTCACTCAGGATTCGGGGTCCCGGGAGTCCATGGGGTGGCTCCGTGACGGTGAAGTGGGGGTGCTCCCGTGCTGGTGGGCCCAGGGCCCCTGAGGCAGCCACAGTGCACTAGTCACCCCCCCTTGTCCCAGTGACCCCCGGCGGGACACTCCTCTGGGCCCCACGCGTGGGTCGCTGCTGCCCCCTCTGACACCCCCTCCACCCTCCCCCAGGTATCACCTTCCTGTCTGGCGGGCAGAGCGAGGAAGAGGCTTCGCTCAACCTCAACGCCATCAACAAGTGCCCCCTGCACAGGCCCTGGGCCCTCACCTTCTCCTACGGCCGCGCCCTGCAGGCCTCCGCCCTCAAGGCCTGGGCCGGCAAGAAGGAGAACGCCAAGAACGCCCAGGAGGAGTACATCAAACGGGCCCTGGTACGTACCCCAGCCCAGGGGCACCGCTCCCACCCAGCCCCAGGGCTGTCCCCTCTAGGGGGCGCCGGCTCCCACCCAGCCCCAGGGCGGGGCGTGGGGCCTGTCCCCTCTAGCGGGTGCAGCTCCCACCCAGCCCCAGGGCTGTCCCCTCTAGGGGGTGCCGGCTCCCACCCAGGGTGGGGCGTGGGGCCTGTCCCCTCTAGCGGGTGCGGCTCCCATCCGGCCCCAGGGCGGGGACTGGCTGGTTCGGCGGGGCAGGGGCCTATCCCCTCCAGCGGGGCGCCGGCTCTCCTCCGG